TGTGTGTGATCCGTACTAATAATTAAATTATTGCCTGACAGAATATAGTGTCATCTGAGTGATCCTTTTGATGGTTGGTAAAACTAGTGACATATAGCCTCAAAGGAAGTAATCAAACCCTTATTCATTATTGTAAAATATCTTCAATAATAGATTCAACACTTTCGTTGCACAAACTGAACGCTGTCACTGTTATGCACAATGAACGCTTGGATTTTTCCGTTGGCAATAAATTTGTGTTGTAATTTTGAAATGACAATTGCTTTGTGCGCATCTAGCGAGCGATAAAAACGTCATTTGCTCGAGGCATTTCAATGTTACCCACACGCGTGATATTCTATCGGGATTTTCTATTAATTTTCAAGTAGAATATTTCTTGTGGCTGTCTCAATATATCATGCTCGGAGGCTGCTGGATAAGAAACTGTTTCATAGCAAACAACGTGTCGGTTGTGTAGGGGAAGGAGGAGAGGGGAGGGAGGAGAGAGGGAGAGAGGGGTGATTTACAAGAGCAAACGAAACACAAATAAACAGAAAAAGTAAGAAGACTCGAAGAGGGAACTGGAAGCGCAAGACTCAAGGGCGGGTGGATAGCATGATGGTTGACAGTACATACATACGCACGCACACGCACGCACGCACGCACGCACACACACGCGCGCGCGCGCACGCACGCACGCACGCACGCACACACACGCGCGCGCGCGTACGTCGCTGTATACACACGCTCTCCCCCGACAGCTGAAAACCCGCTCGCACGTCGAACCGCGCCGCGGTAGTGGTTGTGAACAGTTTACATTCGGCGGGAATAGCAAACGCGCTCTTAAGGCCAGGGACACGTCAACACATCGCCAGAGATCGCCAGAGATCGCCAGGGACACGTCAACAGGGATGATGCGCGCACGCGTGTTGCTGCCTGCAGCGCAGCATCCCTGCCTCGCAGCATCCCTGCAGCTAGCAACCCTGCCTCGCAGCATCCCTGTCTCGCAGCATCCCTGTCTCGCAGCATCCCTGCCTCGCAGCATCCCTGCGTCGCAGCATCCCTGCCTCGCAGCATTCCTGCCTCGCAGCATCCCTGCCTCGCAGCATCCCTGCCTCGCAGCATCCCTGCCTCGCAGCATCCCTGCCTCGCAGCATCCCTGCCTCGCAGCATTCCTGCCTCGCAGCATCCCTGCCTCGCAGCATCCCTGCGTCGCAGCATCCCTGCGTCGCAGCATCCCTGCGTCGCAGCATCCCTGACAGACGTGTGTACACATCTCCCCGTCCGTCATCCACGCATCGCCGACGAAGGTTCGGCCGGTAACAAATAAAGGTTCTCTTCTTCTTTCTCGCGCGCGCACTCTCTCTCTCTATATCTCTATATCTCTCTCTCTCAATATCTCTCTCTCTCTCTCTCTCTTCGCTCTCTTCGACCGAGCAGCCCCGTCTTACTTATAAACACGCTTACACGTACGTCTGAGCAGCCTGTCTTCCCTAAACACGCTTACACGTACGTCCTGAATATTTGTATATCGCGAAGCGGATGATACGTCCGAGCTGCTACGTTATCAACGCTTGATCTTCGATATCTGCACTCGACAGCATCTTCCGGTATGTTGTCGCGGGTAAAACCAGTAGCTGGGCTCTCTGACAGTGATTAATTCTGTCCACTCACTCACGGTGGACACCACAGTCGATTCACGGAGTGTATACCCGTTCAAAATGCAAGGAGGGTCCTATTCCTGCAGACAGGACAGGATTTAGGCATAAGCTAAACAAGCTACAGCTTAGGGCCTTACAGTGTCTGCATGGAGAGGCCTCTCAAAATCTCGGATTTTCTTTCATTTGTTACAGTTCTAAAGGGGCAACCCTTCACCCCACCCAGCATGGTATTGTAACGCATCTTGGCGTCATTATTGCTACGTTCAGTTGTTACAAAGTTAACAGTAATTCACTGTTAAGAATTACGAAATAGGGCTTGGTACAGTTTCCCATAGTTTACGCCCTGACAATGTATAAATCCGGCATTGCCTGCAGACGGTGCTTTCGACTAGAATTCGTCCACGAATCTTCGCGAATCGATGAAGACTTCACGTGGAGACAGACGATTCATTTCGCCTTTCTCATCTGCCATCTATCTATCAATACGTCGTCAGAGCGTTGTTATCTTACGACGACGGTCGAATGCGATAAATAACACGTCAGTCACGTATCCCCATCAGTGCGGCGTGTCGTTATTTTACTCGTAGTACTACTACTACTTATTTTACACCAGAGACAATGCTAATAGCGTTTATATAGTCATTTTTATCATATACATATCAGTATATATCATATAGTCTTATATAAGTCCAACAGCAGTGCCTTCGACACCCCGTCTCCGAATGGCATTCCCTGAATAGCTTCCCCCAATCGTATACTCAGAGATTTCTAACCGACATCTCTTCTTCTCTTGTATACACATTTTAGGCGAGGCTTCGACGTGGGTGTTTGGATAGTTAGACGGTTGTTTTCCTACAGGGATCAATCCCGCTAGGCTGCGTGCGTGTGTGTGTGTGTGTGTGTGTGTGTGTGTGTGTGTG